GACAATTTGATGAAGCAATTAGATTGTTCCAAAAATTATCTCCTTTTGACTCATAACAGAAATTCTAATTTGCTCAACAATTTCAGTCTAATGCCAGGTTTTATTTCAAAAAAATTTTTTTCTTATCTTTTACATGATTTATGATTTGAAAATTTTCAAAAAAAAAGCTTCAATTAAAGTTACGTTGTTCAACTCTTTCGATTTTTTACAACATAATAAAAAATGTACAAGGCGAAAGCTTTACTAGTTTAAAATATTAGATTAAGCAAAAAAGTTGATGTACTCTTTACAGTGATGTAAGCGATATTAGCCTAATACACAATTTTCTTATTTATTTAGAAACTTTATTTTATTATCGAAAAGGTTTCGTACTTTAAATGCTCTTTTTCTACCCTTTTACTAGTGATCTTCAAGTATTAGCTGTTATTCCACCTAAATGCCACGCTTTTAAATACAATTAGGCCAATTATTATTTATAGGCACTTGTCTTGTTTTAAGACTGAAGTCTTAATTTTAATTTCTTTTGCGGTTTACAAATCACCAAAACCTTTCTTGCAAGAGAAAAAAAAAGGAAAAAAAACAGAAAAAGAAAAGTTTGAAATATATAAAAACTGTTTTTTTTTTTTTCAGTTTATGGTAGAAATTAATTTACTCATTCCTTTGCAAACAACCGGCAGTCGGGCAGTTAAAGTCAACTTAATAACCAAACTGTAAAGCAGCTTTGTAGATCAATAAAAATAAAACAGAAAAAATTTTTTGTACAAAATTCAAAATATTCTGACCAGCAATCAAAAATTTAAAGATACTGTAAACACCATACAAGTTGATATGATTACTGCTCCATGACACCATCAGAATGCATGTTATCAAATTTGTCAAGCATAAATAGCTAAATTACAGATACTGTGCTGTAGCAGTTCTATAAAAATTCTTGTCTTAAATAATTGTTGCAAAGCGAAAAACTTAATAACTATGTGGTTTTGTTAGCTTCTTCTTTAAGTGAATTCAGTGCTATTTTAAAAGAACTGAAATGTTTGATCGTCGTCAGATGTTGATGACATTTTTGAATCACTTGTTATTATCTGTCCATAATACGGCGGAAGTAATACTGAATAACTTCCATCTGAATTATTAGCTTTTAGTGTTTGATCAGTAAAGTTAATTTGAAACTAAAAAGAAATTTTTCTTCTTTCTTTAATTTTTAATTTTTTGTTTCAATTTGTTGACAAATTTAAATGAACGCTTTTCACAGTTAAATGTTTGCCAAAATTTGTTGTCAGGTTTTGGAAGTTTTAAAGGTAGGCAATCAATTTCGTCATTTATTGTCATTCATTTTAATTTAGCCTTCTCTTTTTGACATCTCTACGATAATTAAAAAAACCCTTTTTTTTAAAATTTTTATTTCTCAAAAATTTAACCCAAATGTTTCTACGAAAAAAAAATTGGCACTCAACAGTACCAAATGGTTGTTTAGTGGACGTTCAAAAACTACTAAAAAAAAGTTACATTATTGGTTTATCAAAAATACTGTTGGTATTTCAGCACCTCAAAATATCTTTCAACTGTCTGATTTAATTACTCTGAAATTCAATCAATTGTAATCGTATGTTACAAATTTTGATTATTTACTTCTAGAATTACAATTTTTTTCAAATTTTATGAACGAGTAAATGTTTAACACCTCTTCCTTACCGTGCAAAAGATTGAGGAGAATAGAAAATTTAAAAAAAAAAAAAGAAGAAATTGAGACGTTAGGTTACCACGTTTTGATAATTGCGGCATCCCTTGGTCGTACGGAGCCAAATATGCAAGATATGGATATTTCAACAAAAACGGATAACCTCCATCTGTTTCATCGTCGATGTAAACTGGAAAGTATGAAGACACTAAAATTCGATCTATGATACTTTTACTGCCTATTATTATCAAAAGAAATAAAAAAGTGGTTCAAAGAAAAGTAACGATGTCACAAAAACTAATTTATCTTATTTGCTTAAATTTACTTTATCAAAAAATTTTGATTCGAAAAATGAAAAAAAAACCAAACACTCTTTAAATCTTGTAGAAATTGCTTACTTAATCGGTCATTAGACTGTTCTAATGCAGTGGCCATCATTATTATTGAAAATGTTACGCCTAGTTTAAGGGTGAAGCAAAAATCCATTGTTCCTAAACGGCAACAATATAAACAGTTTTTTTCTAATCTAACTTATAAATTCAAAAAAAAAAAAAATTAAACCTGTTCAATAACTGCGTAAACATGACTTTCTAAATTTGAGGTCAAAAAAAACAACAAAAAAAAAAA